GGACGGCCAGCAGCACCTCCACATGGATAAACAGCAGAGTGGTGGGACGTCAGGGACTGCCTCATCGTCTGGTCCCCAAATGCTCCCAAGAGGAACTGTGAGCCCATAAGCGAGGGGTGTCCAAGTCAATCGAAAGTTTCACAAAGTCTTGCAGTCCTGGGGTACGTGTCCCGGGTGCAACAGCCCAGCTCCTGATAACATCAGGCCCTTCTGCCAGGCATTTAGACAGCCCCGAGCTTTCCTACAATGCGGTCTACTGGGTGGGGGCAGAAAAAGAAAAGGGACCTTTGGCCCCACTGACAGGCTCAAAGCCTTCATTCTCTGAAAGAAGCGGAGGCCTGCTGGGTATCGCTGACTCCGTGACGACAGAGGGAATTCCTGAAGGTCACACATCTGAGGCCACACGGAGCAGAGCCCAGGAGGCCACACTCCTTCACCACCCTCCCCGCTTCCAAAGTCCCACCATTTTTCAGAGAAAGCTGGGCTGCGTGCTGGAGCCCAACCCCCACAGCCACCTTCAGGATGTGCCCCATCCAGTCACCATCTCAGCCCACTCAAAGCCAGGTCAGTGCCCTCTGGACTCCCTCGGTGGGCGGTGCCACTGCGCCCAGAGTCCCTCAAGCCTGAAACTCAGCTTTTCTGAGTCCCCGGAACCCCACATCCCAACCCAGCCCACCACCAAGCCCTGTCAATCCTCCCCAGGCCCAGATTTTAAGATGACACAAATTGGCTGAGCGGCTGTCAGTGGTGCCCCTTTGAAACGGGCATGTGCTCTCAAGCGGGCCGCAGGCCGCACTGTCCCCTGCCCCCTCTAACTTTGGGGCCGTGTCAGTTTCAGTCCAGTGTTGGGTTGCCCTGATGTGCTCTTTATAGTGCGGGAATGAAAAGGGGCAGAGAAGGCTGTCTGTTGGAAGAAAATAAGTCAGAGACTACTTTCTTCAAGGGAGAGAAGGCAATTTCTAAGGGATGGTATGCGACCAAAATGTGTTTGTGCAATATTTCTTACTCTTAACCTGTCTGACCACTATAGGCTTTGGCGTTTGCAACCCTTGAGATAGAGCCGTCCCGAGAGAGCGTGCCAGTGGGGCGAGGGGGCCCGAAGGGGAGGAGGAGAGGAGCCATTTTAGCTAATAGGGGTCTCCTCCCTCTCCAGTCCCAATGGGGGGGCGGTGCATAGTCACTGCCCACTCCCTGATTCATGGTCATTGCTACGTCCATGCACCCCTTTCCTGTTCTCCCCACAGAGTTCCTACTGACTGAGCCTCCACTTCAACCAGGTGGGCAGTGGTTTCTGGTGATCTGAAAACCACTGAGGCCAGCTGTGGGCACAGGGGGAGCCCCAGGGTGGGCAAGGGCCTCCTAGGTCCCACTTACATTTTGGTGCGCATCCCACCAAAACTTAGAGCTGCCTGCACCGTTATGAAGCTGGCACTGCACAAGGGTGATGGTGTTCTTCTCTGATCTGAGCCCTTATGAGGAAAGAACGCATCTGGGCCCTCGAGG